CGATTTTGTTGTTTCATTTCAATAAATTTTTTATTTTTGTTTCACTTTTATGTGTTGTGAATAGAAGTTGCGTTTTCATTCTCGGACATTCATTTGATATTTTTAATTTATTTGAATAAATCTATGTGCAGTTATTCTCTGATTGAATCATAATTATTGAATTTGATGGAAATGTTATTGAAAACGTGCTAAATATTCCAAATGAATCCAAAACTGGACATTGTCAGAAGCGAAACCATCGAATTCTAAAAAGTTAAATATTGTGTATATTTCGAATGAAGAATTGATTTTCGCACTCGACTCTGGAATCTGGACTTCCAACTCTGTTTTTTCATCGTTTTTTAAATTGTACACGCATTCTCATGAAATGCAAAAAAATCCAATATAGAAAAGAAATCACTTCGCAAAGTTTAAAAAAAACATTTATTCAAGTCAATCAGGTTAACCGCTCTTTCTGCTGACATTGCACATTTTATGAAATGGATACAATTCAAATTACGTTTTCAAATAAAGACATAACCATCGATTGTCAATAAACAAAGTAAAAAAACCGTCACATTTTCCTTTCTTTCATTTATTTTAAATTTTTATTTGGTTAAATCCAAAATACTGACATATGTTCCAAAGATGAAGCCTAAAATACCAAGCATAATGATAGCAAAATCGGGCCAACATTTCCAGTAGAATCGGCCCATTGCATTGAGATCAAATACAATCATTTTGAGGATTGGCGGAAAGACCAAAGCCAAACTTGACGAGCCAAAAGCACCAATCAGCGATATGATAGGTCCGAGTTTTGGTACAGCAACCGCAGCAAGGACTGCAACAGATACAAAACATTATTATTTTACATTTCCCTGTATATCGAAAGCATATTTACATACATGTTAAGAAGGTCAGAGTAGCACGCATAACACCATCACCGATGCATTGATGTTTGTCGGACAAGAACTGCTGGAACCACGATCCAATTATCTTCATGGGAATGTAAAATGCCAGAGTGTACGTTAGAAATACGGCCAGCGCTAACATCACTCGAACCGATTCAACCAATCTTTTGAATAAGAGATTAAAACACATGAAACGACAATTATATTTCAATTTCCATGTTCATTTCAAGAAAACTCGATTTTTGACATACGTATGCCAGTCATACTTACGCTATGAGATTATTATTTGCCTCTAAATTCAACGTAATCGATCCTCGGACATCATCACCATATTTCAAGTAGCCGAAGAATCCAAATGCACTGTACATTAAAACGGTGATGAACATACCCGTGTTTAGAACGCCAGTTAATCCGCCAAATGCTTTGGGATTCTTCATATTGTTTTCTAACGGGAGTACAATGCCGATCCCTTCGACTGAGTAGATGGCCGTTCCAAAATACAGCGGAAATTGTTCCCATGATGAAAATTTCGGCACTGTACTTGTATTGGGCAAATCTTGTAATATGAAATAGAATGTGATTGCGATGCCTGATGGATATGAAGGATAAAGCTAAGATTAATTCACATGAAAATCATTTTCATTTCTCTGCTGCTCACTATATGACCTTAACCTACCAATTACAGTTAAAATCGATGCGATCAATGACACTGGTGCTAAATATTTCAGATTCTTCAAAAAATTAATCAAAATCAATGGAATCAATATGGCAACCATATATAATCGAATGTCTATTTCGGGTGTGTGATGATCATTTACAACTTTTTGTAAGTTGGCAGCAACAAACAGAATGTACACGCTACAAAATCCAAGTTCAGTAATGACCAAGAAAAAATTTGCGGTTCCTCTGTGAAATGAAGCAATTTTAAACGTATGGCCAAATATCAAAATGTTTACATTATTTGGGAGCTAATTATTACTTGGCGAAGCGAGCATATTTCCGTAAACCATGAGGGCCCGAATCAAAGGCGTAGAAACAGACTTCCGAGTAATCCATCGAGGGTAATTTCAATTTTTGACAAAGAACGGTTGAACATCTTAACAGCATATGCATACAATGCGTACAAATGATGCCCATAACAATTAAACCACCCAAGCCAACGTATAATCCAGCATTTTTAAATGCAAATGGCATTGCGAGAAAGCCATTGCCGATATTTGCTTTGAGCAAATGTATCAACGTATCCATATTTGAAGTGGAATGTTCGACGTTCCGCTTTTGTACCTCGGATTCACATACTGGATTTGTTGACCCTGGTAATTGACAAATTATTGAAGTCGAATTATTTATTTCGAACAGAAATTTTCAGTGGAGAACGAGAGGCTTTAGCTTTGAAGATAAACGATTTATGCAGAAAAAAAAAACCGAAATTACCATACCCGTTTCTATATTGTTGCATGTTCCACTAACTTCACTATTAACACTGGGCTCAGAACTTTGTTGCATGTTTGAACTTTGTATTGTGGAACTTGAAGAATTTTTATTATTTTAAATTTATGCCGCAAATTGAAACAAGCAGTCAGTTTGAAACGAATATTCTCACTCTTCTCCGTACCACTTGTGATTTTTAAATTTTTATTAATCATCAATGAATACACCAACCACTCGGGGAGGCTGTGCTGTAGAGACTAAATTGAACAGCATCAATTGTACATTTGATCGATCACGACATACGCCAAGACACTGCAATACATTCAATATTTCAATTTATACAATTGTTGTGTTCAGTATATCGACATAGAGTAAAGATAACGAATTTGTATGTATGGAATTTTAGTGGAAATAAAGATTCATGTGCGCCAGCCGATCGTATGACTAGAAATTGTAAATGGGTAATTTGAAAATGTTTGAAAACACAAAATCGAAATTTCATTTGAAATCACCTTATTGTTTTTGCTATTGTAGCAAGTGTACTTTAAGTAAATACAATTGTGTATCTTTTGTGCTACAATAGCAAAAACAATAAGGTGATTTCAAATGAAATTTCGATTTTGTGTTTTCAAA